CTAATGAACAGCTTTGACTTTTGAAACTTTGAAAATCTATTGGGTTGGTGAATTGAAAACTGCGGGCTATTGTCATCTGTGACAGTTTGAGCACTTTCTTCAAAAGAAACCCATTTTGGTGTCAATAGAAAAGTTGTAGAGAATCAAAAATCAAGCTTATATCCAAATTTTCAGAACGATTCAACAACTGGTTTTCAAGAAATGCGAAATTTACGAATTTTCAATTTACAAATTACGAAAACTTGCATTTTAAGCGAAACTACTAAGTGTATCCTTTTGGAAATTTGGCTATAAGCCTAATTTTTGATTCTCTACAACTTTTCTATTGACACCAAAATGGGTTTCTTTTGAAGAAAGTGCTCAAACTGGGCTGACAGCTGACATCTCCAGTCCTCAGTTTTCAATTCACTAACCCAATAAACTAAAAGCATTGTTTCAATCTTTTCCTTAAGATTTTTAGGGAAAAGGGATCTTTTAGGTAAACCAAATGAACAGCTTTGACTTTTGAAACTTTAAAAATCTCTTTAAAAACTAAAATTGACGTGAATCCGCAAATGAATGTAGCCGACTTTCAAAGAATTTTCTAGAACACATAAAAGCCATACAATCGATTGTTTCTCTAATCAAAAAGCTCTATCATTGCTCTACAAAATGGCTATTGATAGATTCCGAAAAGCTTTTGTTTTGTGGATTTTATGAGGATCTAAACAAAACCAATCAAAATAACAAATCCGATTCGTCGCTTGACTCGACATAGACTTAAATTGATGGCATAAACTGGCATAAACTAGCATAAACTAGCATAAACTTGACATAAACTTGACATAAACTGGTATAAACTTGATATAAATTTAACTTAATGTTAAAACAAAAATGTTAGAGCACATTTTATTACATAATTAACCAAACTTTTGTCCTGATCTCGTCATTTTCTAAATGAAGATAAAGAGATTCTCTGAAAAAATGATTTTTTATTGGATTAGGGCCCTTCTGACTTCTATTTCAAAGCTGTTTTTATAGAGAAATAAATAAGCTTTCTAATGATACTATTAACCTATCATTTGATAAAAACTACTCCATTTTATACTCGATTCAGTGTCGACGGAAAGTCGGCGCCATTTCAAACTCTCTAATCCAATCGTTAAAGTTAATAAAATATTTCTAGAATCTATTCTTTAAATAAGAACTTTATTACTTGTCCTTAAGCTTTGGCCGTTAGAAATTTTAGGTTTTTTAAGATTAAAAAGTTACAAATATTAAACAATGACGAAGTATAAGGAGCCCTGGAAGGAGAAGAGAGTGCATGCTTTCCTTTTTCCATTTTTCTCTCAGAGAGTCGATCGATGAGAACATTTTGGGCGAAAAAGATTGGGTGAGAGATCGCCCAATGCCAAGAGGGAGCAAAGGGGATTGGAGAGTTGAAAGAGAAGGGGAAAACCCCACTCTATCCCTCTCTTCTCTTTCAATGAGTGTATCCCACAAAGAACAGGAATTCACTTTTTTTTACGACATTTTCAAGGGTTTTATTTGGCTGTAAATGATAATTTATACACACGTGGTTCGCTATTTTAGACTAAAAAGTGTTTGATGTTTGCTCAAGAACGAGTCTGTAACTTGGATTGGATTCTGTTCTGAATCGACTTGATCTGGTCTAAAGATCACTGTTTTCATCTTTACTTGAATCTGCAAAACTAGTACCATATTTCTTCAGATAGATGCTCATCTCGGATAGACGCTGACCTCGGATAGACGCTCACCTTGGATAGATGCCCACCTCGGATAGATGTCCACCTCGAATAAAAGCCCCGCGTTTGAGGTTTTCGAAAAAACAAACGCCGCAGGATCGTGTTCAGCCCAAGATACGCAGGATCGTGTCCCACCGAAGATACGCAGGATCGTGTCCCCCCCAAGATACGCAGGATCGTGTTCAGACCAAACTTCCTGGAGTGATTTTTTCGGTAAATCAATGCTTGAATGTGATTTTAAGCAGACCTTTGCTTCGAGGACACTCCAGACTGAGTAATCCATCGGATTTAAATCAGGGCTTGATGGTGGCCACTGCTTAAAGCTGATGAAATCCGGAAAGTTTCGTTCACACCAGTTTTCGATAATTCGGGCTTCGGCCCATCCATCCTGAAAGTATCAAATTCTGTTTTCGAAGTGGTTTTGTGCCTAAAAAGTAGCAAAGATAGTCAATCAAAAACAGCAAAAGCAAACGGAGATTGGTTTGGGTAATTTTGGGGCACCCTGTACAGGGTCCGAGAAAAGTATTGTCATTTTTCCAACCATCAGATCTCTTTTCAAATTTGAGCTTTTAACATATTTATTGAAAAAAATAACAGATAAATAGCCAAAAATTCAAATTTATAACAAGTGTTCAAAATTGGACTCCTTGGCTTTGATACAAGCTTTCAGACGCGTGATCACTGAGCCGACGGTGGCACGGAGGTAGTTGGCATCAATATCCTTCCAGGCAGCGATCAATTCCCTCTCGAACTCACCAAGATTTGCGATTTTCTTATGCCTCAAACGCTCCTCTAAGAAGTCGCATACTGAAAAATCCAAAGGGTTGAGGTCCGGCGAGTTGCTGGGTCAGTTTTCTTTCGTGAAATGAGAGGGCAATTCGCGCCGAATCAGGTCCATTGTGGTTTTCACTCCATTGGCCGGGGCCCAGTCCTGCTGGAAGGTCATGTTAGAGTTTTTTCGAGTCCAGGGGATCACAGCATTCTTGAGAATCTGATCTTATTAAACCTGGGCATTGATTTTGACACTCTTGTCGATGAAAACATGCTGAGTCTCCGAATTCGCAGTCACTCCTCCCCAAACCATCAATCCTTTCGGAAAAAGACCCCGTGTCCGGATTTTCCGCTTCAAAGTGTTCTTCTGGGCCGGTGACATCAGTTGACGATGGTTTTGGGAATTGTGGACCACTTCGATGGTAAAAATTTTCTCATCTGACCACAAGACGTCCTCGATGCGTGCCGTCTTAAAAAAAAACAAAGAAGCCGCTTAGCTTTTTGAACTCGATTGAATTTCGCATCATCGGTAAGAAACTGGCCTTGTCGCAGACGATAACTACGAAGTCCCAGCTCCTTTTTCACAATGTTCCGAACCGACCAATCCGAGATTTTCAGCTCCGTGGCCATTTTTCCTAAGCTTCGCTCGTCGTTTCGGTCAATTCGCAGTTTGATGAGCTGCCGGATGCTTGGCGTGTTCACCGATCGAGGTCTTCCTTTTTTCGCTTCTCCTTGACGTGGCCTTTCTCTTGCAATTGTTTGGCAAGTCGTTGAACAGTCCTGATGTTGGTTTTGAGCTTTCGCGAGATGGCCGCCTTCGACCCTCCGGCTTTCAAAAGTATAGCGGTCGCTTCTCGATGAGGGCAAGCTTGTATTTCTAAAAATACACATTGAATGCGATGCACCATTCTAAAGAGGAAAAAAAACTGAACAAAATTCATGTTCTACACAACGTAAAAGGATACTTTAAATTGCATAAAAGTTAGCTCAAAGAGACGCGACAATACTTTTCTCGGACCCCGTAGAGATTTTGTGTTCAGTGGCTATTCAAAATTTTGATGACTAAATAATTTGGAATTTTTTTAGTGCAATACGAAAAAGACGCTATTCATGAGTCAATTCAGTTATTAGAATAAATCTCATTCATTTTGAGTGACGAAAGAGTGATGAGGGATCTGAGAGCTCTTTCTTATCTACCCATCCACGTCCTAACACAAAAGCTACAACAGAAGCTGTTTTTTTGCGTAACGAACAATTTTGTTTGTATATATTCAGTCATTTTTTGTTGAAGCATCATTTCATTCATCATTTCACCATTTCATTCCGAATCTTTTCTTCTTTTTTACTCCAAGCAAGTCTCCTTATGTGCTCATTTCGATTTTAATAAAACTAAAACAATTACTTCAACAGAAACCATTGTTTATTTTGTTTATTTTCTTTTTTTTATTGTTTACCATTGATAATCTTGTATTTATTTTGTTAATTTGTGAAGGGAAGATAACCAAAAATACAATTTCAGATGGATATCGCTGCCTTAGCAAAAACTATCGCCATTAAAATTTGGAGAGCCGAACAGGAAGTCAGGGAGAGAATTCAAAAGAATTTCAAACGACGAACAATTGGCGATGTGAAAACTTTGCAAATAATGTTGGGTTGGTTTAAAATTTCCAATTTCCACAAGGGGATGGTCAGAAGCCAGTGTGGGATTTCGGGACGTAAATGAGGTGCAAACACAAGTCGAGTACGGCGAATGCGATAGCGCTTTTAGTTTTTGAGAAAGGGGCAAGGTTTTCGAGAAATACACGTTGCAAACGTATGCATCTACCGGAAAAATAGTTAAACAATTTCTAGCAGAAAAAAAATAAAAAAAAGTTTCAAACAAAAAAGCAAAAAAATCCGCACTCGGGGATCGAACCTGTGAGGCTAAAAAGCTAATGTTTGTTTCATAGTTTCATGTTTCATGTTTCATAGCTCAACTCATTATCCACTACACCATCTCTCTTTGATTTAGAACAAGGAAGTAATGCAGCAATGCTGCTGCTATGCAGAGAAGCCTCTTTTAACCTCTAGGCTCCGTTTTACGAGTAGATGCCTGAAGATGCCTGCCTGTAGATGCCTGTTCCCAATCTAATCACACCTTTGAGATCCCAACAAACCGACAACATGTAGAATAAAGCGGAGAACTAACCTTTCGCCTTCACTGCGAAACTTGAAGTAATGCAGCAATGCTGCTGCTATGAGTCCAAGAATAAGAATAACAGGAATGAGTAAAAGCAAAAGCCAGAGCTTAAAACTTATAATCAAAGATTTTATAGAAATAACCTTTAATTTATAACAATTTTGAGCTATCCGAAGACTAAACTTTCTATTGTTAAGTGAAGATTAAGACAAAATTTAGCAAGATGCTCTCAATCTTCAAATGAACAACTGAAAAGGGATATTGCGACACTTAGAATCAAAGAACGTTTAAAAAAACTCTTTAAAATGATTACGAGCAAACATAAGCACGATTGGGTTAAGCACAATGGAAAGATTGGAGCCAAAGAACACTCGTTCTTCGATTGTATCAAAAATGAAGTACAATGGAACAACGCCACCGAAAAAGCAAAGCTTCTCAGTGCGAGTCTTTTCCGTGCTTTGATTCCCATTCAAAACCCGAAAAAGATTGCGCTTGGTGATAAACTTTTGATCAAATGGATGTTGCCCGAGATGCCTGATAAGGTGAAGCAAAAAATCGACGAATTCTCGATCAATGACCCGACTCTGAAAGGCTATTTTGATGAACTTTCCGTAGTAAAAAAAGCTACATTTCTGTTAAAGTCATCAGCTTTAAAGATCGGGCTTTTCTATTGGTGCTCGTCGATTTGCAAAGGAAAAGCCGTTTACGAGACTTGTGCTCATGCATCGGACATTGAGAAGAAATTGGCGTGGCTGGTTGAGGACATCGAGGCCCTTTGCGATCAGACTCTGGCGTTGATGCTGGCAAATCAGCTTCCCATAGATCCCAGGCCGAAGAAGAAGTCGAGAATAACTTTTCGTTTTCGAAGATCAAGATTCGGACGCTTCATGATCAAATGGAAACATTGACAAACGACAGACAAAGCAAGAGTTTAATTACTTCAACTTTATAGATCATTTTCGATTCCAAATACAAATATTTTGATCATCTTCCAACTCTGAATCTGTGATTAAAATCTGTCTCTAAAGCTGTGACTCAAGGATGATTCTCTTAACAAGTCCTTCTTATCGGTTTTGATTTGTGTAAATAAAGTATTAGTATCCAAATGATTGTCAGCATTTGGATTCCTCGGTTTGCAAAATTGCGGCGAAGTGATTGCATTTGGTTTTCGTTCTCGTTCATCCAGTTCATCCAGTTCATCCAGTTCTCGTACCAAACAATTCATTTGAATCAAAAAAAAGAAGTTGTTTCCTCAAACATTCATCTGTCAACAAACGTTGAAACAAAACTTTGCAAAAAATTGTAAAGATTTATGCACTAACCTAATTTGTTATACGAAAACACAGATTAACAAGAGAGTCAAAATTTTTTTTGACTGAAAAGCGACTAGCTTTGCCTTCAAACTGCGGGTCTTTCTTGCACAAAAAGTGACATTCTTCTTCTTCCTTTTGTTACTTTAAAAAAAAGCTACTTTATTTCTTAAACATTCGCTTTTCTTTTTGAAATTTCCAAAAAGTCCCTTTTTGGATTCATTTTCTGTGTTTTCTTAGTGCAAAACCTCCAAAATTTCGTCTAATCTATCTATTTTTGAAAAAAGTTTATCAAAAAAGCTCTCATTGACGTCAATGAAATAAAAAAAGGCCTAAAATACTTTTTTTTTTAAACGTAAACCTAAAGAAGTTTTTAAGACAGATCCCTAGCCCTACCAAAGACTGTACCCAGTTTTTCTTTGCTGAATACCGTATTTTCTGTAATAGTAGTGCGCACTACTATTTTTTCAAGCCCCCTCCAGCCTATTTTCTGTAATAGTAGTGCGCACTACTATTTTTTCAAGCCCCCTCCAGCCTGCACTACTATTACAGAAAATACGGTATATGGTGATTATATCGACCCAAGTTCGACTCCTGCCTGCCACAAAACCACTTCGGAAACAGAATTTGGTGCTTTCAACAGGATGGGCCGAAGCCAGAATTATCGAAAACTGGTGTGAACGAAACTTCCCGGATTTCATCAGCTTTAAGCAGTGGCCACCATCAAGCCCCGATTTAAATCCGATGGATTACTCAGTCTGGAGTGTCCTCGAAGCAAAGGTCTGCTTAAAATCACATTCAAGCATTGAAAAAAATCACTTCAGAAAGCTGAACACAATCCTGCGTATCTTTAGGTCACCATCAACTTCCCCAAAACGTCTGGCCGCTTATGCAGCCTCTCATGGAGATACTTTCGAGAAGAAATAAACCAAATTGTTGAAAGCAATCTAGAGAATACATTTGTTAATGTTAGTTTTTGTTTTTTGATGAACTTTTAAAGACTTTTAAAACGTGGTTCGGGTAATTTTGGGGCAGCATGTAGATTCTGAAAAATGTGATAGGTAATTGGGATGAAGGCTGCAATTTAATCTCATGACTATCGACTTAAGGTTAATTTTAAACTTAAATAGATCTATGCAGCTTACCCAAATCACCTAAAACCTTATCTCAAAAGTACAAGTGCTTCCCGGAGTCGCTTAAATTTCAGCAACAAAGGTGACCACTAAAGTGACGACTAAAGGGACAACAACAACAAAAAGACAAAAACACCAACTAAAACCATCAAGACAAAAAAAAACCACAACACCAACTACTACTACAACCTACGTATCTTTAGGTCACCATCAACTTCCCCCAAAACGTTTCGCCCCTTATGCAGCCGCTCATGGAGATATTTTCGACAAGAAATAAATCAAATTGTTGAAAGCAATCTAGAGAATACATTTGTTAATGTTAATTTTTGTTTTTTCGATGAAAAGACTTTTAAACCATGAGTTTTATTGGTAATTTATTAGTTTTATTGGTACCACCCTTAATGCTCCTTAGCAAACTTCACTCGGGCTTTCCGAAAAGTACTTAAAATTTAGCTGGTTATCTTATTTTTTTTTAGGTAAAAATGAGTCCAATTTTAGTATCAATGGTACCGGGAAGAAAACGAAGCCGTGAACAGCTTGTTCACCGTCTATTTTCGAGCGAGCAACTCAACGGCTACTTTACCGGATTGTGAACATCCGACAGCAACTCTAGCATCAAGTACAATCGTTTGAAGAAAAGCTTTGCAACGATTACTCCAATGAAGACTGAAAAACAAGGAAATCTTGCCAATTTTTGGGATAGGCTACTTTGCGCCAATTTTTTTGCGCAACTGGGTCATTTGCGCAACTAGGTCCTCGCAACTCGCCATAACATTCTTCCAAGTCGGCCAATCTTTATGATGTTGGTTTCATTCTGTTGGACTTATTGAGATCTACAGATTGAAACCAAAATCATAAAGATTGGCTTACTTAGAAGAAAGTTATGGTGAGTTGCGCAAATGACCCTGTTGCGCAAATAAAATGGAAATTAGCCTACCCCGATGAGTTTCATCGTTCAATTAACTGACTGAATTTTAACTTTGTGACTTTTTTCAAAGCATTTTAACCTTTAACTTTATTTCACGAAGCTGAACATATAGGCTAATTTCCATTTTATTTGCGCAACTGAGTCGTTTGCGCAACTCGCCATAACATTCTTCCACGTCGGCCAATCTTTATGATTTTGCTGTCATTCTGTTGCGCTTATTGAGATCTACAGATTGAAACCAAAATCATAAAGATTGGCTTACTTAGAAGAAAGTTATGACGAGTTGCGCAAACGGCCCAGTTGCGCAAATAGCTGAAATTAGCCTACCCCCAATTTTTCATTTAATTTCTACGCTTTTATCATTTTTCTTTTTAATCCAATGTTTTTCTATTAAAAATTGGATCCTTTGTTCTTTATTGTTTTTTTATTGGATCTTTTGTTCATTGAGAAAAATTAGATCATCTGATCATCTGATCATCGGACAATTTTACGAATTTTAAGTTGACATAAACTTGCCCATTTTACTCCAAAATTTCTCAACTTTTCTCTAAAAATAATTGCAATCAAATCAAATCTATATGTAGTTCATTTTTCATTTGAATATTTTGAAAATAAATTTCTCCAAAAGGAAAACTCTTGGCTGAAAAGCTAGATTACATGCTTTTTTGCACTGAATTCCTTACAAATCCTAGCTTTTCTCTCTTATCATTTTCGAAGCCGTGTTCCATTCGAATTTGAAATTGTTTGAAACATTTGAAAACTTAAAATTTAATATTATTGATTGAATTTCACGGTATTCAATGGTAAACAATAGTTTTGTGTTTATAACCGCTTTCTGGAGTCTTTGGATAGCAACAGGTTTGAGGAAAGCTCAAAAGTTTTCTTGATTTTGTAATGGTTTCTAAAAAGTGCCTACCGTAACTCGGTTTTTCTCTTCGCAAAGGAAGGGTAACAATCGAGGCTGATTTAAAGTCAAAAATCTCTTCTATAACTATCATTTTGTTTTTATTTGATGCTTTTTATACAAAGAATGAGAGAAACAAAAAAAATCTCTAATTTTAAATAATCTCAAAATATTAGGTGATTGTGCTAGATTAGTGATTGTGCTAGATTTGGAATCAAATATCTAAATAATCATTGCCCCATCGATTCCCCTCTACAGACAGATTTTATTAGGTAAATGCATAAGAAATGCGGATTTGAACATTTTCATAAATTTCCAACGATAGAAAACGATTTCCAACGAGCTGATGCTATAAACTAGAATCGATGAATGTTATAAACTATTTGAAAATTGTAAATCTCCTCTACAAAATAGGCTAAAACGTGTTTCAATTGATCGAAGAATTGAAGAAATTTGAGAGGCGAAAGGCGAGTGACCAAAAAAGGGCAAAAAAAGGAATCGAGTCACTTTAGGGACAAGTTTAGGGTGTTCAAAATAGAGTTAACTTCCCAAAATTGAAGATTTAAACAAAAATAAAGGATAACTAGATATCAATTCATTAAAAAAAGTCTAACGGAAATGCATTTACAGAAATTTAGATAGAGCGTAAGTTCAAAACCCTCAAAACCCTCAAAAAAGCCAGCTTTTTCACAAAAAAAAATTATTGTGAAAACAAAAGTAAAAGCAACGATCCTCAACAAACAGTCAATCACATTTATCATCATCATTTAAATTAGCCTCTAAGTTTGCAGCTTCTAAGTTTGCAAAACTCGAGTGAATTTGGCGCCTTTGAACTTGACCTTTGACTTTAGAACTGTGGAGAGTAAACACCGAAGCGAATTTATTTTATGAATAGCAAGGCAAATGGATAACGTCTGTGGAAATTGATGGCGCGCATTATTGGCCAACTTATAGTCAGATCCTTTGATCAAATTCCATTTTTTTCCCTGCTTTTCTGGGTATTCATAAATGCAAGATTTTGGCTAATCTATCGCTCATCAAGTCGATTTCATCATCATCAACAATAGAGTTGCTGTTTTGAGAATTAATTGAAGCCTTTTTGTGCTCTGAAGCTATAGCCACTATGTGTTGTTTTCCATTTTTCACTGATTGTTCCCATTTTTATGAAACTTTTTATAACATAAACATTGAGTTACGGTTTTGAGGCAAGTTCCATTGCTTGCTCAATTGATTGTTCTCGACTTTACTGCGGCCTTCTGGATTCTCCCGCAAATCTAACAATGTTGCAACAAAGCTTTCAATTGTGATCACTCAACAATGATCTTGAATCATCTTCAATAACTTCATCATCGTTATCATCATCGTCATCATCATCATCATCATTCAAATATCATCTTCAATAACATCATCATCGTCATCGTCATCGTCATCTTCATCATTCAATTATCATCTTCAATAACATCATCATCGTCATCGTCATCATCATCATCATTCAATTATCATCTTCAATAACATCATCATCGTCATCGTCATCGTCATCATCATCATTCAATTATCATCTTCAATAACATCATCATCGTCATCGTCATCTTCATCATCATCATTCAATTATCATCTTCAATAACATCATCATCGTCATCGTCATCTTCATCATCATTCAATTATCATCATGAATAACTTCATCATCGTTATCATCATCATCATCATTCAATTATCATCTTCAATAACATCATCATCGTCATCGTCATCTTCATCATCATTCAATTATCATCATGAATAACTTCATCATCGTTATCATCATCATCATCATTCAATTATCATCCTCAATAACTTCATCATCGCTCAAACTCCTCAGATAAAAAGTCCAAAAAAGAAATGATTCTAATTTTCTGCGAGGAGTGGCTTGCCAGTTGACACGTTGAAACCTGTCTGCTGCGGCAGGAGATGCTCATCAACAAAAGTTTACCGAATCTGGCAGGAAATCAATCAACCAATCTATTTCTGCCATTCTTTGTATAAAAAGCATCAAATAAAAACAAAATGATAGTTATGGCGAAAGAAATTTTTCACTTGGAATCAGCCTCGATTGTTACCCTTCCTTTAAATTCAATTTATTTAGAAGTCATCGTTTTACCGAGTCAACCAAATAAGATTTAAAAGTTTAGCTGCTGTCGGGACAACTCCATTGCCTTGTTCGATCAGGGCACTCACCGCGAAAGAGACGAATTACGATGAAAAACCAGGTATAAATTATCAATTTTTGTATTAAATGCTGAGTAAATTCCATTTCTTTCTTTCCATTTCTTTTCAGGGACACCGAAAAGAAATGTCGAAGAAATTGCGCTAATTGACATCGATCATCCGGCTTTCAGCATGCATAAAGACGATTTTATCAAACATGAGGTAGAGTTTAAGAAGGAAATCTCGACCGGCTTTGGTGGCTAAATAACATGAGCCATAAACCATAGACTATAGACCATTCGACGCAGAATTTCACGCTGATTCCGAATCTTCTTTCCGTTTCTATTATGAAGCACTCTGTCAAAAGTTATACTCGTCGAATGGTCTATGGCTCATGTCATTTGGGCATCCAGTTGACCTTCCCTTATCAGTTCTGGAGTGTAAAGTTTTGTTAGGAATTTCAAGAATCAAATTACGAGTCCATAAGCAGATTCTCCAGGCGCTAGGATAGTGTTCTGCTGGCCGATTGGAAGTGCGCTTGAACGCAAGGCAGGGATCCTGGGGATTCAAGTCCGCAGCTCAACTTTTTCTTTTGCTTTTATTTGATTTGAATAGTTTAGGTGTTCCTTGTACGCATCGCATCATTTTGATCTTTCAAATACAAATTTACTTTACTTTACTTTCCACAAAAATCTTTTCTTTTAACATCAAACAATAAGAAATCAACATTGATGAGATTTATCGATAAAATGGGAGAAATATTATTTGATTTTACACCAACATAAAAGCCAAAGACGCACAATGTGCTGTCTGAGAAGTTACACGACTCTTCAAACTTAATAGACACTACTGGCAATAGGAAAACTGGCCTTGAAATTGAAAAATTGATAGACTAAGTCCTTCAGTATTGATAAATTGGTAAATTTAGCAAAATTTGGCGATTTTAGGTTTTGAATGAGACCAATTGCCTATTCATTAACCCATTAAAAACTTGTCTGAAAGCTGGCCACTCAAAAAGTGACCAAGTCACCTCAGCTGAAGAAATCTCTTATTTTTTACCTAAAGCCCACTCTGATTTTTTTTGTCAAAAACTTTTTGAAATATAGTCAAGCTTATCAAAAAATCTGGGAAGGATTTGATGGCTTCCTTTTTGAGAAATCACCGTACAAACACCGTACAAACTTTTTCCGAGAACTTTCTTTCCAACCTAATAGATTCCGCGGCTGTAAAACTCACATGGCTTCGAGTCGAAAAACTGAGTGAGTGACAAGCGCATTTCCTCGACGTTTTGAAAGATCTTTCCACGCAAATGATGCTCCAGAGACCTGGAAAAATGATAATCGGACGATTCTGGACAAAATACCTGAACAGATGATAGTCCGATGTCACTCACTCGGCGGTATTGTGGGACCTTTCATACGCGAGGCCACGCCCATTTTCCCATTAGCAATCTAACTTTGAGCTCAAATTTCTTCGTGTTGAGCTGTTCAATTGAAATAATTTTTATACCAATCGATAGAGAAAGATTTGGCGCATCTAATGATGTCAAGAATATTGAAATTCTACAGCCAAACACCAGGAAATTTGCGCTCAAAGTTGGATAGGGAAAAGGGGGGCGGGGCCTCACGTATAAAAGCTCCCACAATTGTGCTAAAGAAAGATACATTTGAGTATTTATTTGGTGTTTTTGATGCGTAAAATAAAAAGTTAGATCTAGCGTCAAAAAACGGAAATAACTTTCCGGCCAACCTAATAAGTTGATGTCAAACTCCTTTTGGAGGAACAGGGGAAAATTGAGTACTTTCGATATTCAGTTCATATGCGTATCTCGTTATATCAGCTGTTCTGGCGCTATGAATTTGTTGAAAACAATCTTTTTTGAACAAAATTACCACAAATTTGATTGAGAAAAACTTTTCCGAATGAAATATCGACTAGCGCTCATTCAAGCGCTTGTTAAATGAGTTATATAAGTCCTACGGTAATCAAAATTAGCTACGGTATTTGCCCAATTCAGTCAATTCAAATCTCTGCCGATTGTAAGCAGTGTACAATCACATTGATCATCGGCGAAATCGTTCCGTTTGATGAAATCTCCAGCGACGACACCATCGATGCAAATCCAGTTTTTCCTTTCCTCATCGACACCAAGAATCCTACAAATATTCAATGTTATCTGGAAACGTCAGTTTTTTTGAAAACTTTTAGGAAACAATGATCAACAATTCAGGTTATTATATGATGAGGGTGAAACCACGTACACATTGACCGTCACTAATGTGCACTATCACTTCAATTTGAGTCTGACTGATGAATGGAAAGGAGATAATTCACCATATGCCAACTATACATTCGCTTTTACGGCTTATGTAGCAGAGATGATCGTTGGTGAGTTATTTAAGCAAAAAGAGCCTGTCTCTACAGGGTGCGGCAGAATTATAGGTGCATGACATAAAGACGGAAAACGAGCCTTCGCTCTTGATTTTGCACTCGAATTTATGTTTTTGTTGTTATTTTATGATTGAATTTGTATTTGTAAATTATAATTTTTTATAACTTTGAGTTTCAGGCTATGGTTCGCGCTTCCCCGCATCGACAATTGATCGTGGAACTTCATCGGAAGGGCGAATCGGCGACCGTGATCGGAAGAAAGTTGGGAGTGCATCGAAACGTTGTTAACCGAGCCATTCAACGCTACAACGAGTTGGGATCAATGTCTGATCGGCCGCGAGGAGGTGTTCGTCCATCTGTGGTGACGAAAGGCAACATCAAGAAAGTCAGGGATCGCCTGCGAAAGAAGCCCAATCAGTCCGCTCGAAGAATTGCCAAACATATGGGTGTATCCGATCGATCAATCCGTCGAATTATCAAGGACAAGCTCAAGTTCAAGCCCTACAAGAAGAACAAATCCGGTTTGCTTTCGGCAGACGCCAAATTGAAGAGAAAAGATCGATGCGAAAGGCTTCGTCTTCGTTTCAACGGAATCGACCACAGGAACATTTTGTCCACCGATGAGAAAAATTTTTACGATTGAAGGAATTCTGAACAAGCAGAACGATCGAGTTTGGTCGAAAACTCAACCAAGTGTTACCGTCGGTCGCAGCTGCCACCCAGCTTCAGTTCATGGTTTTTGGCGGTAAGACGGGCTTCCGGCAAGGCCACCACTGATTCTTTGTGCTACAAGGAGTCAAAGCTAATGCGAACACGTACTTAGATATGCTAAAGAAAGAACTTGTTCCCTGACTCCAAAATCACTCTCCAAAATCGCATCTGGACCTTCCAGCAAGATGGTGCTCCCGCTCACAAAGCCAAGATTGTTCAGGATTTCTGCAAAGCGACTTTTCCCCGACTTCATTGCATTCAACGAGTGGCCCTCGAGCTTCCCTGACCTCAATCCATTGGATTTCTCGGTCTGGTCTAGAAATCTTCAAGCCGAGCCCAGTCAGAAACCTCACAAAAACCTCGGAAAGTTTGAAGAAATCTCCTGGAAAGCCTGGGAGGGTCTGGACGCCGCCTACTTGGTCGCCACGGTCGACGCCTTTCCCAAGCGACTCAAGTCTTGGCATCGACGCCAAAGGAGGAAGATTCGAATATGATCAATAAAAGTTGTTAATTTAAGTTCAATAAATATGTTAAAACTGTTTTTGTGGCAAATTTTTCGTTTTTTTGGTCATATTCCAATGGAACTTCTCTGCACCTATAATTCTGCCGCACCCTGTAAAGGGTTAAATCGGCTCCTTAGGAGTGTTTTCTGAACTCCATTAAACCAACCGATCAAATGAATCGATTCTCACTCAAATCAAATGTAAAATTTGTAGAGAAATAATGATTTTACTTTGATTTAACTATTGGTTTTCCCTTTGATTAAGCAAAGCAAATCAAAGCAAAGCAAACAAATTATTATTTTATATCATTCGAAAGTTTAAACTTTTCTCTTTAAAACTATATTAAAGTTAATAATAATATTATAATATCTCTAAGTAAAGTTAGTAGATATTTAAAACGGGGATTGCTCATTCGAAAATCTCTTTTAGAGCCCAACTTTTCAATGAAAAATCAACGAAATCAATGAAAAAACACTGAAAAACGTCTTAAGCTCTTCAAAAGTCCAAAAGTTTATCTCTTTACAACTTACAATTAGCATTTACG